GAGGTGTTGATCGACTGGATCCGCGCAGCTCGTCTCCAGCTCAGGCGGAGCTTCGGCTCTGACTTTCCTGTTTTGCGGCTGCACTCGGACAGAGGCGGAGAGTTCTCCTCCGGCCTTCTGCGAGCCTACTGTCGTGCACGAGGCATCCGCCAGACCTTCACGCTTCCGGACTCTCCACAGCAGAATGGGATTGCTGAGCGCCGCATCGGCATTGTCATGGACGTCGCCCGTACGTCCATGGTGCATGCGGCTGCCCCCCATTTTCTGTGGCCGTTTGCGGTGAGGTACGCCGCGCATCAGATCAACCTTCAGCCCAGGGTCTCCCGACCGGAGACCTCCCCAGCTCTGCTGTGGACGGGGAAGGTTGGCGATGCGTCGGCGTTCCGTGTCTGGGGATCTCGGGCGTTTGTCCGCGACTTGTCTGCGGACAAGCTGTCCCCTCGTGCTGCTCCTTGCGTCTTCCTGGGTTTCCCCCCTGACGCACCTGGGTGGCAGTTTTACCACCCCACCTCTCGTCGTGTTCTGTCCTCCCAGGACGTCACGTTCGACGAGTCGGTTCCCTTCTACCGGCTCTTCCCCTACCGCAATCCCTCCCTTCCCCCACCGCCCCTCTTCCTGGTCCTAGGTCCCCCCCCGGTAGACCCCCTCCCCCCTCAGGGTCCTACCCCTTCAGGTGTGTCTCAGGTAGACGCGGTCGAGCCTGTCGAGGTCACTGGTGACTCTGGTGCTGCTGCGCGTGCGGAGCCTCTGGGTGCTGAGTCTGGGGGTGCTGAGCCTGGGGGTGCTGAGCCTGGGGGTGCTGAGACTGGGGGTGCTGAGCCTGGGGGTGTTGAGCCTGGGGGTGCTGAGCCTGGGGGTGCTGAGCCTGGGGGTGCTGCGACTGAGGGTGCTGAGCCTGGGGGTGCTGAGCCTGGGGGTGCTGAGCCTGGGGGTACTGCGTCTGGGAGTGCTGCGCCTGCTGCTTCTCTGGAGCTGCGTGAGTGGTTTGCCAGGCGCTGGAGGCGCGCTGTTGGAGCTGGAGCTGCTGCGGGTGCTGGCGCTGTGACTACGATTGTCGGTCCTGCTGAGGGTACTTCTGGCGCTGCTGGAGGTGCTGGAGTTGGAGCTGCTACTGGTGCTGGTGCTACCTCTGGAGGTGTTGGTGCTGTCCCTGCTGTCTCTGGCGGTGCTGCGCGGCCTCGGCCGTACTTCGTTCCGCTCCTCCAGCAGGTTCTTGGTCTCCCGCCTTCCACTGGTCCTTCTCCTCCCGTAGAGTGTCCACGGCCTGTCCCGTCGCAGTCACAGTTACAGCCCGCCTCTCCCCTGCCTTCTCCTTCTCCCTACACTGGTCCTACTGGAGGTCTTGCTGAGCGTCGTGAGCCTGCGTCCCGCCCTGTGTCGCCAGTCCGAGCTGCTCGCCCTAGTGGTCGCGGTTCGCGTCAGCGTCCTCCTCCTGTCCCTGGCACGCACCAGATGTCTCTGCGTCCGTCCACTGCTCCTCTACGTGCCCCTTTGCCTTCTCCTCCTCAGTCTTCTCTTCCTACACTTGCCGACCCGGAGTCGGACTCTCGCCGTGCTGCCAGTCCTACTGTCACGCGTCTTCTTGCTTCTCTTGTCACTGACCCTTCCTTTGAGTCCGCTGCTGCGTCTGCCCTCGTTGCTGAGCTGGTCGACTTTGCTGCTGCGTGTCGTCTAGACTACGCTGCCGGTCTTGTTGCTGAGTCTGCTGAGTCTGCTGAGTCTGCGTCTGCTGCGTCTGCGTCTGCCTGTCCTCCGTCCGTCGGGGGTGACTGTGCTCTTGGCACGGACGTCCTTGAGGACAGGCACGAGGAGTTCCAGTGCTTTGCCGCCGCTTTGCCTCATCTCGTGTCCATGCTTGTTGCCCCTGAGGGAGACCTGGATGCTCTAGACATCCCGACCCCACGCTCTTACGCAGAGGCGATGGCCGGTCCCTACTCCTCTCAGTGGCAGTCAGCCATGGACGCAGAGATGGCTTCCTGGAAGTCCACAGGCACCTACGTTGACGCTGTTCCCCCTCCTGGGGCGAGCATTGTCAGTGGCATGTGGATTTTCAGGGTGAAGCGGCCGCCGGGTTCTCCGCCTGTCTTCAAGGCGCGCTACGTGGCTCGTGGCTTCAGTCAGCGACAGGGAGTTGACTTCTTTCAGACCTTCTCCCCGACCCCGAAGATGACCACTCTTCGGGTTCTACTGCACGTCGCTGCTCAGCGTGACTACGAGCTGCACTCTCTTGACTTCAGCACTGCTTTCCTGCAGGGCCGCCTGCACGAGGAGATCTGGTTGCGCCGCCCTCCTGGCTTCACTGGGTCGTTCCCTCCTGGTACCCAGTGGAGCCTCCGGCGGCCAGTCTACGGTCTCCGCCAGGCGCCGCGTGAGTGGCACGACACACTGAGGACTACACTTGCGGCTCTTGGGTTTGCTCCTTCTACTGCTGACCCGTCGCTGTTTCTGCGCACCGACACCTCGCTGCCGCCGTTCTACATCCTCGTGTACGTCGACGACTTGGTCTTTGCCACTGCGGACACTGCCGCACTCGCCCACGTGAAGTCCGAGCTGCAGAAGAGACACACGTGCACAGACCTGGGTGAACTGACAAGCTATCTTGGCTTGCGGATCACCCGGGACAGAGCACGCCGCACCATTACCCTGACTCAGTCACACATGGTGCAACAGGTCCTTCAGTGCTTCGGCTTCACGTACTCCTCGCCTCAGTCCACTCCTCTGCCTACGGGACACTCGCTCTCAGCTCTGCCTTCGGATGAGTCCGTAGAGTCGAGTGGTCCGTATCCAGAGCTTGTGGGCTGCCTCATGTACCTGATGATTTGCACTCGACCTGACCTCGCATACCCTCTCAGCATCTTAGCACGCTATGTTGCTCCCGGCCGTCACCGGAAGGAGCACATGGATGCAGCTAAGAGGGTGTTGCGCTACTTGTGCAGTACGTCGGGCATGGGGCTAGTGCTTGGAGGGCGTGAGCGGCCTGTGCTCACTGGGCACTCAGACGCTTCTTGGGCTGACGACCAGGCTACTCAGAGGTCGTCTCAGGGTTACACCTTCAGTCTTGGCTCTGGCTCTGTCTCTTGGTGCTCTACTCGCTCTTCTTCGGTTCTCAGCTCCAGTTGTGAGGCTGAGATCTACGCCACGGCCATGGCTGCCCAGGAGCTTCGCTGGCTCACCTACCTGCTGACTGACCTTGGAGAGCGGCCTCGTTCTCCTCCAGTGCTGTACGTCGACAACAAGGCAACTATTGCCTTGTGTCAGGAGCACAGACTGGAGCACAGGACGAAGCACATTGCTCCGCGCTACTTCCTTGCTCGAGAGCTGCAGCAGCGTGGTCAGCTTCGCGTGCGTTTCGTGGCCACTGAGGCCAACACTGCTGATGTGTTCACCAAGGCACTTCCGCCTCGTGACCATCACCGCTTTTGCACTCTGCTAGGTCTTGTGCTCACTGGGCCTCACTTGCTTACCTCTTGACCTTGCTTGTACTGCTGCATATATATATCCTTGCTCTTGCTTGTTTAGCACTGTTATATATATATGCTCTGCTGCATGTGAACTGGCCTTGTGGCCTTGACCTTGTGCTCGGACTGTGTGGTGACTTTGTGATCCACCCTGAGCTTTGCTTTGCTTTGCTTGACTGGTCTTGTGACCCTTTGTTCTCCCCCACTTTGCCTATGGGGGTGTGTCAGATTTATATGACATAGTTGCTGTAGGCTATACTGGGGTAGCACATATGGGGTACAGGTTTCTAGGGTTGTATTTGTACCCAATCTTTCCTTAGTCATTTCATTCCTGTTCTACAACTCTCGCAATCGAGACTCATGGGCGTCACGTTGTTGTTGTTGTTGCTGTTGTTTGACTGCGCAGGTACTCCTTGCTGATGATGCTCGTAGAAGGACATGAAGGAGAAAAATTTCTCCATCATACTTGGATCGAAGCCCGCGGGTGTTTCCGTAGACCCAGCTGCTGGTCTCGTTGTTGTCCCTTCCTCTGTCTGTAGGCCAGAGACAGGAGGTGGAGTAGGGGTAGTGCCGGGAGAGCTGTTGGAGGAGCTCCTCTCCTTTCTGGCAGACATGTCTTCTTTGTATTGAGTGTTGAAGAAAAAGAGTAACTTTGAACTTTAACTTGCTCTCATACCATGTAGGGCTGAGGCGCCCTAGGATCTTTGTAGAGTTAAAGTTTCAGTAGAATGATGTAATAGCGGAAGCGTTTGAATGAAGTATTTGAACCACCTTGCGTTAGTATGTGAGGGCAAAGTAAGTTTTCTTAAAATAAGCATATACAAAGGCTTATATAAGAGTACAACGAATACGAATAGATATAATTAAACTGTTTTACTGTTGCGGTTCGATACAGTGCGACTCGGGCAACTGCTCAATGTCGAGTCAGTTGTGTGTCCTTACTGTCGCGCTGCATTTGTCAAGTCAAAGGTCGCTGACCTTTGACCTTCGCGTAACCTCCAGCGGTTACCTTAACCTTCGGGGGTTGACTCGCGGTGCTTCGATTTGAGCTGCTTCGCTTGTGTCTTGAGTTTTCGACACGACAGAGGCGCTTAAGACTTTTTGTTCCCAACAACATGACCGTCAAACCCAAGAAACAACTTCAAAGATGCATGCAGTGCAGAATTGATGCTTAATACACTTCGCATTGATCCAACACCTGTTTATTTATCTCCATTCGTTACCAACACATCTCCTCTCAGTGCATCCGACAATGTGTCTTGTAGCTTAGGAACGTAGTCTGCAAGAACCATAATCTGAAGCTCAACTACACTACCTTTTCCATCCTCGCTTTCACAATAAGTTTCGTTTAATCTCTCAACCGAGTATTCAGGCCGTTGAAGCTGTGCCATGTCGATACATGCAGAGGAGAAAAAGGATGGCATATATTGAGGTAAGCCACAAGATGTTTTGTGTGGTACGATGCAACGTAAGTATGCAAGAAAAGGGGCTTCAATGGTGCATTTAGAAATGAGATGAGGACTGCAATGATAAACAGCACAATTATAGCTGAAACCTGCAAGACCATAGTACAGTAGTACAGTGCAATAGCGAGCACGCATTGAAGTACAGAGCGTCAGTGTACATACCACGGTGTAAAGAAGTCCAACGTGGTGCACTGGAGCAACTATTTTCAGGGCCACCTGCCAGAAGAGAAACACATTACCGGCAAAACACACAAGGCCAAAATACCTCTGAGGTGCATAAAAAACCACCTACGAGGAGAAAATGAGTTGAAATACATGACAAGAAAATGCTGTAAATGCTGATGCCAGTGCGTGAGTCACTGACCAAGAAACGCCTCACTGCGCAGATGCGAGCTTTATTCGTCAAGTTTGACACCCGTTCGAGAAAGTTAAGACCAGTTACACACTGTACGTTATGGAGGCCTCACGGCATTCTTGTTTGCTATTCACATTGATTCTCTTCCTGTTTTTAATGTGTCGTTTTAAGTAAAGGGCTTTTTCCTCACAGCGTGCACAATGGAAACTGCATGGGCTGATGCGCATGCATTGCGCTTCACTGCCTCTAGCACTAAAAACATTTCCTCCCACAATATGATACTACATTGATATATCCCTGGCCAAGATAGGAATAACATCTAGGTGCTGTATTTCATGAATTCTCAGGATAAGGCATTACAGACATACCTGGGTGGGAATAATCACACCTTTCGCAGGACTGGAACCAGAGTGGCTTCCCGCAGTGCTCCTGTTGCTGCCGCTGCTGCGACTTTCAAGGCGCCTTAAAGTAAAACCAACCACGGGTAGTGAGGCGGATTTTGAGAAGCCTCAAAAGAGAAGAACACGCCTTTCGCAGGACTGGAACCAGAGTGGCTTCCCGCAGTGCTCCTGTTGCTGCCGCTGCTGCGACTTTCAAGGCGCCTTAAAGTAAAACCAACCACAGGTAGTGAGGCGGATTTTGAGAAGCCTCAAAAGAGTAGAACACACCTTTCGCAGGACTGGAACCAGAGTGGCTTCCCGCAGTGCTCCTGTTGCTGCTCCGCCATACGCCCTCACCAGACCGCCTGTTCCTAGCTTCACTCCCCCATAGTACCTACACGTTGGGAACACACACAAAATGAAAACGAATGATTTTCTGGCCACATTAAAATTCGGCAGTAGACCTCCTGTTCCTAGCTTCACTCCCCCATTGCACTTTCACGTTGGGAACGGGGGAAAAGAAAAAGAGCACGACGCACTATCAATTCCAAGCTTTCCGCTCCCCATAGCAAGTTGACTTTTGAGTCGACTCAAAAGTCAACTAGCACCCATAAATTGGAAATGGAGCATTCGGCTTGGCAGCATGAAGCATTACCCTCCCCATCCCAGTAAACTACTGTACTAGAGCTGTAAATTCCCCTGCATTGCTTTTAACGAAGCAGGAAAGCATGAGAGAGGATGTCTTACGTTGAGCATTACTCATGCAAGGGTGAGACCCTCTACCTGGTTACCTGGTTACCACCACCATGACACCATCCACCCCAGCCCCCTCAATAGCTGCCAAAATCGGCCGCCCGGCTGTTCCTCCCGGCTCCCCGTCATCATTGAAACGGTAAGCTGGGGAGATCTGGCATGGGGGACAGGATGCGACGGGCAGGGATACGGGGATAACATTGCATCCTGACACACACGGAGAAGTGTGAAACGAATTACAGTGGATGGGGATAGAAGAAACACATGAACTGGGAAAGAAGGCTTAGGGTGAGGTACATGAGCAAGAGTGGTGGATTCAACAGCTATGCTAAATCCCTCTGGTGAAATGTGACAAGGCATGGAACTGCATGGTGGGATGTTTTTCATTATTCCAACTTGGAGGACGTAATGTTTTGAGGCGCCTCAAAATCACATCTTATACCCAAGTATAGCGTACGACGTTTCATCTTCTTTCCAGACATGCAGTAACGCACGTAACATCTCATCTTGCAACAAACACATGCAACCATCTCATCTTGCAACAAACACATGCAACCATCTCATCTTGCAACAAACACATGCAACCATCTCATCTTGCAACAAACACATGCAACCATCTCATCTTGCAAGAAACACATGCAACCACTCATCTTGCAACATCTCATCTTGCAACAAACACATGCAACATCTTATCTTGCCCGCCCAGAACCCCACCTTGTACGCCCAGCAGTTGTGGCTGGCTGACGAATCTTTGACCTGGTGGGGCGGGGCAAGGAGGGCACGGCAAGGAGGGGACGGCAAGGAGGGGACGGCAAGGAGGGCGGGGCAAGGAGGGGACGCCAAGGAGGGCGGGGCAAGGAGAGGACGCCAAGGAGGGCGGGGCAAGGAGGGGACGGCAAGGAGGGCGGGGCAAGGAGGGGACGCCAAGGAGGGCGGGGCAAGGAGGGGACGGCAAGGAGGGCGGGGCAAGGAGGGGACGGCAAGGAGGGCGGGGCAAGGAGGGGACGGCAAGGAGGGCGGGGCAAGGAGGGGACGCCAAGGAGGGCGGGGCAAGGAGGGGACGGCAAGGAGGGCGGGGCAAGGAGGGGACGCCAAGGAGGGCGGGGCAAGGAGGGGACGCCAAGGAGGGCGGGGCAAGGAGGGGACGCCAAGGAGGGCGGGGCAAGGAGGGGACGGCAAGGAGGGGACGGCAAGGAGGGGACGGCAAGGAGGGGACGGCAAGGAGGGCGGGGCAAGGAGGGGACGCCAAGGAGGGCGGGGCAAGGAGGGGACGCCAAGGAGGGCGGGGCAAGGAGGGGACGGCAAGGAGGGCGGGGCAAGGAGGGGACGCCAAGGAGGGCGGGGCAAGGAGGGGACGGCAAGGAGGGCGGGGCAAGGAGGGGACGGCAAGGAGGGCGGGGCAAGGAGGGGACGGCAAGGAGGGCGGGGCAAGGAGGGGACGGCAAGGAGGGCGGGGCAAGGAGGGGACGCCAAGGAGGGCGGGGCAAGGAGGGGACGCCAAGGAGGGCGGGGCAAGGAGGGGACGCCAAGGAGGGCGGGGCAAGGAGGGGACGCCAAGGAGGGCGGGGCAAGGAGGGGACGGCAAGGAGGGCGGGGCAAGGAGGGGACGGCAAGGAGGGCGGGGCAAGGAGGGGACGCCAAGGAGGGCGGGGCAAGGAGGGGACGCCAAGGAGGGCGGGGCAAGGAGGGGACGGCAAGGAGGGGACGGCAAGGAGGGGACGGCAAGCCAGAATGGTAGCAAGAGTGGGGAGGTGAGGAGGGGAGGTGAGGAGGGGAGGGCCCATAAGGCGGTTCAAGGGAAATACAGGCTCATGCATGCACAAACTCACCTCTCCCCTCTCTCCTCTCCCCTCTCTCCTCTCCCCTCTCCCCTCTCTCCTCTCCCCTCTCTCCTCTCCCCTCTCCCTTCTCTCCTCTCCCCTCTCTCCTCTCCCCTCTCCCCTCTCCCCTCTCCCCTCTCTCCTCCCCTCTCCCCTCTCCCCTCTCCCCTCTCCCCTCTCTCCTCTAGAGACAATTTATCTCTCTTCGGCTGCCACTATATGGCTTCTCTCCTCTCTCACCTCTACCCCTCCTCCCTCCTACCTTCTCCTCCCCCCTTCTCACCTCTCACCTCGCACCTCGTCCAACACGCGCATCGCCGCCTCTGCAGACCCCACTGGCGCCGCTACCCTGTCTCTCCTTCCCCCCTCCCCCCCCCCTTCTCCCATCTCACCTCCATCCTCCCCCTTCCCCTTTACCGCCTCACCTCGTCCAACACGCGCATCGCCGCCTCAGCAGACCCCATTGCCGCTGCCACCACGTCCCTCTTTCACTTCCTTCCTTCCCCCTCACATCTCCCCTCTTCCCCCTCTTCCCCCTCTTCCCCTTCTTCCCCCTCTCCCCCCTCCCCCCTCTCACCTCGTCCAACACGCGCATCGCCACCTCTGCCGACCCCACTGGGGCGGCTACCTCGTCCCCCTTTATCACCCCCTCCTCTCACATTCCCACCCACACCCCCCCTCTCCCCCCACACCTACCCCGTTCCTCCTCTGCCCTTTCCTCTCTCACCTCGTCCAACACACGCATAGCCTCCTCTGCACACCCCACTGGCGCAGGTACCTCGGCCCACATCACTTCCCTCCTTCTCCCTTCACCTCTTCCCTCTTGCCCTCCCCCTCCCCCCCTCATCTCCCCCCTCTCACCTCGTCCAACACCCGCATCGCCTCCTCTGCAGACCCCACCGGTACTGCTACCGCCACGAAACGACTCCTTTTAATCTCCGAGTGGAAGGTAACGGATGTGCTTATAGTGAAGGAAGGAGCGGAGGAGGAGGCGGAGGGGGGGGAGGCGGAGGCGGCGGAGGAGGGGTGGGAGGCGGCGGCGGCGGCGGCGGCGATGGGAAAGAAGAAGGCTGACGGGACTAAGCAAGGAAAGAAATGAAGGGAGAAGCGATGATGGCAGAGTAACTGACGGACCGGTTGAATTGACTGACTATCGGCGCGCCTGGAAACAGAGGACGTCATACTGACGTCATGCTTTAGAATTCTCGAGAATGAGACGGAATGGGCGTGATTTTGCCGACTAGCCGACGGGAGGTGAAGGCTGAGAGCGAGGGGCAATGTCAGTGTCGCCTGCAGAGTGAGATTCCGGCATGCGACGACGGGGGACGATCGAAGGCGAGCGCATGCGACGATCCGCGACGGACGCGAATGCGATGCTAGGGAATGCGACAGTGGCCTCGGACGAAAGCATGCTGACGTCATTATGCCTGACATCGATCAAGTGACGAGGTCAGAGTGAGGAAGCTACAAAGTAACAGGACTCCTTAACCTTCCATAAGTGAGAACGGTTGCAATGGCGGCCGTCGTTTGCGGCGACGCAAGAACAGTAGCCGTGACAAAAACCTGAGGACTCATCTAGTCATGCCAGAACGAAAGCACAAGCATGTCAGCCGTAGAGACTGGAAAAGGAAAAGTTCCGTTGCCGGGACTTGAACCCGGGTCTCTCGGGTGAGAGCCGAGTATCCTAACCGACTAGACTACAACGGATGTTCGATATTTTTATTTACAAATATAATAGATTAACAGCACTGACGGAATGCCGATCGGATAGAATTCTCTGTTGCGTCTACGGCTTGGAGCCATGAGCGGATCAGCGTCGCGCCACTTCCGCTCGGCCGCGGCGGCGTTGCGGCACTGCCTCAGACGACCACACGCAGCCTCGTCTGCGCCGCGGCCTACTCCTGTCCCAGCTAGCGCCGTCCTCGCTACCCGACATCCTCAGGACCCCAGCATTTGCTGTACTTTAATCGATCCCGCCGTCACCAGAACGAGCTCTTCTATTGGTCGCAGTTTTAGCGTCGGCGATGCATCTCCTGGTGACACGTGGCACCGATCCAACGGTTCATTTCAGCATGGATATACACAATCGTACCCAGTCTTTCCCGTTGCAGTCGGCGCTCGAGCCGCGTCATTCACCACATTTCACTCATCCCCAAGCGTCGCTACCGCTGCAGCTGCTGCTGCTGCTGACGTGGCAACGAGCGGCGCGAGCGGGGAGAAGGCGCAGCCGCCGGCTTCCACGCTGCTTCCGACGTCCGGCGCTCCGGTGGTGTCGCCGCTCGTTACAGGCGCGTCGCCGCTGTCGCCCGCGTCGCCCCCTGGTCGCACGGTTCGCGCCGTTCTCGCAGGGCTCAAACAGGTACTGTGCGGTACAGAGTGGCATGTTGCCCTGAACGCCAGCCTGTCGCATCCCACCTTCTCCCTGGATGGCCCATGCCAGCCTGTCGCATCCATGGGCCGCCACGCCACGTCACGCCACGCCACTTCACGCCACGCCACGTCACGTCACGCCACGTCACGCCGCGTCACACCACGCCACGACATGAAATGCATACGCACCCCTCTCCCTCCTTCTGCCGTACTTCCCAACCGCCCTCCCCTCCCTTCCCCTCCCCTCCCTTCTCCTCACCTTCCCTCCCCTCCCCTCTTCTCCCCTCCCCTCCCCTCTTCTCCCCTCCCCTCCCCTCCTCTCCCTTCCCGTCCCCACCCTCCCCTGTACCCATGTCTCGGCTGTTCCCAGGGTCCCAAGAAGGTGAATCTGGTGGCGGCGATGGTGCGAGGGATGACGCCAGACGATGCGCTCATGCAGATGGCCGTCAGCACCAAACGCGCCGCTAAAACCGTGGCTAAGGTGAGTTGGCAGTGAGGCGAGAGGTGAGAGTTGTGGTCACCACCGTCAGCACCAAGTCGCTTGCTCACAGGTGCCACGCCAACCAGACGATGCGCTCATGCAGATGGCCGTTAGCACCAAACGCGCTGCTAAGGCCGTGGCTAAGGTGAGTTGGCAGTGAGGTGGGATGGGAGTGAGGTGGGATGTGGGATGGAGGCGAGATGTGTGACTCCGGTGAGAGTGGAAGTCGTCACGCACGGGTGCCATCCATGTGCCATCCATCCCCACAGCGCTCTCTCTCATGCACATGGCTATGAGCAAGCACCAAGCACGCTGCTAAGACCGTCGCTAAGGTGGCATGAGATGCCAGCTGTGATTTAAGGTAAGGTGAGATGAGGGTAAGGAGAGGTGGGGGTGAGGGAAATGAGAGGGTGAGAGAGACGGGAATGAGGAGAGATGGGAGTAAATTGGGAGTGAGGAGAGATGGGAGTAAATTGGGAGTGAGGAGAGATGGGAGGGAGGAGCTTAGATGCGATGGTATCACAGGTTTGCAATGTCTAACACCGCCAGTTTGCCAGATGAGTTTTGAGGTTGAGAACCTGCGTGACAGACCTCAAACTCAAACTCATCAGCGTGTGAGATCTTAGAAGGTCCTAGAATGGCTGTTCTCGTCCCTCTGCCACCCTCTGCCCCTCTCCGCAGGTGGTCACAGCAGCCAAGCCAAGGCCGCAGCAGCACAAGTATGGGCTAGAGGAGAGTAGGAAGCTGATGAGAACATGGCATTGTCCTTCTCTCGCAAGAATGATGAGAATGGATGTGAAAAAAGACATTGTGCTTCTCTCTCCTTTCCTCCCTCTGCCCCTCTGCAGGTGGTCACAGCAGCCAAGGCCAACGCAGTGCACAACCATGGGCTGGAGGAGAAGAAGCTCATCATTGGTGAGGGAGAAAGGGGTGTGAGGGTGTGGGGGTGTGCAGGGACTGGGTGTGGGTGGGTTTGAAGGGGTGCTTTTGAGTAAACACGATAACAGCCATGGGCTGGAGGAGAATAAACACATCATTGGTGAGGGAGGAAGGGGTGTGGGCGTGTGAGTGTGGGAGGGTTGCCTCTGTTTCGACTCAAATAGTAACCCTGGACTCAAGTAAAAACCACGGACTCAAATAGAAACCACGGACTCAAGTAAAAACCACGGACTCAAATAGAAACCACGGACTCAAGTAAAAACCACGGACTCAAATAGAAACCACAGACTCAAGTAAAAACCACGGACTCAAATAGAAACCACGGACTCAAGTAAAAACCACGGACTCAAATAGAAACCACGGACTCAAGTAAATACCACGGACTCAAATAGAAACCACGGACTCAAATAGAAACCACGGACTCAAATAGAAACCACGGACTCAAGTAAAAACCACGGACTCAAATAGAAACCACGGACTCAAGTAAAACCCACGGACTCAAATAGAAACCACAGACTCAAGTTAAAACCACGGACTCAAATAGAAACCACGGACTCAAGTAAAAACCACGGACTCAAATAGAAACCACGGACTCAAGTAAAAACCACAGACTCAAATAGAAACCACGGACTCAAGTAAAAACCACGGACTCGAATAGAAACCACGGACTCAAGTAAAAACCAAGGACTCAAATAGAAACCACGGACTCAAATAGAAACCACGGACTCAAATAGAAACCACGGGCTCAAGTAAAAACCACGGACTCAAATAGAAACCACGGACTCAAGTAAAAACCACGGACTCAAATAGAAACCACGGACTCAAATAGAAACCACGGACTCAAGTAGTAACCACGAACTCAAATCGTAACCCTGGACTCAAGTAGTAACCATGGACTTTGACAAGGCAGCCGATTTTCACCTTTTGGTGAAGAACTTTGGAACCACCTGTTGGTGTAGAACTTTGTAACCACCTGTTGGTGTACATCTAACCAACCAACCGTCCCTGCACGAAGTCGTTTTTGAGGCGCCTCAAAATCAGCGTGCATTGAGGTCGTTTTTGAGGCGCCTCAAAAACGACCTCTTTGACAAGGCAGCCGATTTTCACCTGTTGGTGAAGAACTTTGTAACCACCTGTTGGTGTACAACTTTGTAACCACCTGTTGGTGTACAACTTTGTAACCACCTGTTGGTGTACATCTAACCAACCAACCGTCCCTGCACGAAATTTGTTGCTGTTTCCCTTTCCCTCCTTCCCTCCAGCGGAGGCCTCTGTGGGCAAGGGGCGGTATCTGAAGCGGCTGAGCCCGCGTGGGAGGGGCGGTCTGGGTGCTGCCAGTCAGTCCGTTGCCAGTCACTCTTTTTTTCCCTCTTCCCCTCCCCTCTCTCCCACCTCCCTCCAGCGGAGGCCTCTGTGGGCAAGGGGCGGTATCTGAAGCGGCTGAGCCCGCGTGGGAGGGGCGGTCTGGGTGCTGCCAGTCAGTCCGTTGCCAGTCACTCTTTTTTTCCCTCTTCCCCTCCCCTCTCTCCCACCTCCCTCCAGCGGAGGCCTCTGTGGGCAAGGGGCGGTATCTGAAGCGGCTGAGCCCGCGTGGGAGGAAGGGATCGGGTTGCTGCCAGTCATCCTCTTTTCCCGTTCCTTCTCTGTTGTTTCCCCCCCGTGCCCCCTCCCCTCACCTCTCTATTTCCAGCGGAGGCCTTTGTCGGCAAGGGCCGGTATCTGAAGCGGCTGAACTCACATGAGAGGAGGCGGTTGGGGGTGAAGCCAGTTAGCCAACCCCTTCCTTCTCTCTCGTTTCCCCTTCCTCCCCTCTCTTCCTTCCGCCCCTCCTCCCTGCAGCGGAGGCGTATATAGGCAAGGGGCGGAATCTAAAGCGGCTGAACCCGCATGGGAGGGGGCGATCGGGGTGAAGCACCGCTCCTGCTGATGATAATAAACCATTTTCCCCTCTTTCCCCCTCTCCCCTCCCCCCTCCCCCCCCAGCGGAGGCATATGTGGGCAAGGGCCGGTATCTGAAGCGGCTGAACCCGCATGGGAGGGGCCGGTCGGGGGTGAAGCACCGCTACCGAAGCCGCCTCACCGTGGTGGTGCGGGAGATGAGCGGCCCTGAGGAGGAGCGAGTGGAACGGCAGAGGGCTGCTGCGGCCAATCACAGGTGGCTGCGGCGCGTGCAGAGGAAGCGAGGGCAGATTGTGCCGCATAAGGTGGTGGAGGTGGGGAGGAGAAAGGAGGTGGAAAGTGGGGCTGCCTGATTGGCAATGAATTGAGAAGACTGGGTTGGTTTACGTGAGAAGGGGGCGTTTGCAATTGGATATACCGTACAAAGATTAGGGCTGGGAAGTAGAAGGAATGGGAATTTTGTTGCGAGATATGCTAGCTGGAAAGAATGCAAATGAACGGTTGTAAACTTAAAGCTGTCGCCTACACACCTCCTGCAGGAGGACCTGGTTTATCACCTGAAAACCAGGTAGCACAGGGCTTCGCTCCATCCTTGGGTGGCGAGGTGCAGTTACTGCTTTCTGACAACCCAACCCCCCCTCTGAAAGTTGGCCTGCTCAGGATTGGCTTACAAATTTCGCGCCAATCTACCCCCCAGCCTCGATTGGTTGCAGGTTGTGGCGAAATCGCCACCACAACCCCAACCTCACAAAAAAAGTACCCCCCCAACCAAACCTTGCACGAAACTGGCGGAATTCGCCAGTTGTGTTTGAATCCTTCGCGCTCTCATTTCTGGAAAGGGATCATTTCGTGTGCAAATCAGACTGCGTCTTAGGGCGTGCACCCGAAATACCCCCAGAAAATACCCTTTGGTATGTAGACGGCAGCTTTAAAGTACTGCCTTCAACTAAACGACCTATAGCTAGCTTAGGGAACATTCCTGCCTTGACACTTGTGTCTCAAATGTATTGTGACGTGCAAAAACCACATAATACGTGCTATGTCACAAACGTGTGTCGCCCTAATGCGAATGTAACCCTATTTTACACTGGTCAGCGTCATTTGCACCGGTGTCGCGGACGAGTTGGACGAGCCCCCGTCACCTCCCTGAAATCGCATGAAACGACCAATGTCGGGCAATTGCATTGCCCGACCGCATGCATCTGGACACTGGACGACATGACATTTTAGCGTGGGAAACAAATCCGCCATCCATGGGCAGCCTCGAAAGGGGTTTCCTTGTTGGTGTTACACGCCAGGCTGCCCGACGAAACCACCCCAGATCTTGAGCCACCTCTCCATCCTACTTCCAGGATGACTCCAAGCCCATCTTGTTCAGCATCCATTCCCTGTTTCTTACATCTTAGTCTCGCTAGATCTCAATCCCTCTACCAGCCATGGCGCGCAAGCGTAAGAGCGCCGCTGAAGCCGCCAACGTGTGCCCGCGGGATCTCAATGAGATCCCGTATATTGCTTGGATGAACAAGCAGCTGTCCGCCGGTCGCAAGCCATCTGGCCCGCAACCAGTAGGAACTCCTTCGCGTGGCGACACCTCTTACCAAGCCCCACGTGACGTCCCGACGCGCGGGCGCCGTGACGCTGACTGGGTGGCATCGTCGCGCAGTCCCGAAGTTAACACGTATGGAGTAGAAGACGACGACGCCGACTACAACGAGGAGGCCGACGGCACCGACGACGAGGCTGACTCCCGGGAAGAGGATGACAAGGGCATGTCCGACTCTGATGCCACCGCGGACGCCGATGACACGGAGACCGACGACGAGGACGCACCGGAGGAATCGCAGCCTGCTACTCCGCCAGTTCGCCGCGGTCCTGCTAAGGCGGCGCCGGGAGTCAAGAACGCCGCCAAGGGCGGGGAGCCACCTCGACGCGCGCCAAAGATCCGCGACCCCATGCCGGTGAAGCGCAGCGTGTGGTCGCCCCTGTCAGAGGTCCACTGAAGATCCCCAGTTGATCCTAGGGAAGGGTTACAGACACGTTGGCCTGGGGGGGTATGGGCGCACTCACCCGCTATACAAATAAGCCCTTCTATCCCAGTGGTTAGTGGCTGGGATTCTAACATGGTATCCGAGCGAAGGTTTCGGGTTCGATTCCCAGTGTGTGCACCTCGGGCATCCCAGTGCGGAGGGGTGTCAGAGGAACACTGGAGATCCCCGGTTGATCCTAGGGAAGGTTTACAGGCACGTTGGCCTGGGGGTTTATGGGCGCACTCACCCGCTATACAAATAAGCCCTTTTGTCCCAGTGGTTAGTGGCTGGGATTGTGACAGCCCCTGGAGAGCACGATCCTCGTGGCCGCCCGCTGGTTCACGAAGGATGAGCTTGAGCCGCTGCTGGGGAAGCAGGGGTCCCAGTATTGGGCCCGCCTTGTGCGACACCTCGAGGCCGAAAATCCTGGATGGGTCCGCGGCGTCAACGCCATGCAGAAGCAGTGGCGCAACCTCGTCTCCATGTTCAAGCAGTTGCAGAAGGCGGACAAGGCGTCCGGTAACGGTGTGGTCTGTAAGCCGCCGTGGTGGCCGTACATAGAGTTATTTTAGAACAACCGTGCAGTGGCGCCGCCGCTACGCCGACATTCACAGGTGAGGGCTCTCTTTGTCAAATGGGTTTGTTCGTTTTGGTTTAGATTGCGCAAATTAGCAACAACACTTCCGGAAATTAGGGATCATGTAATTCATAGCAACAACATGACAGCGCATCCGTGTGTTAACAGCCTTTGCTCTGTGAACGTGCAGCCCCCCCTCCGGTGACACCTCCCTCTAGGCGCCCGCGTGTTGCACAGACGCTACCATGGCCGCGGCCAAGCTGGTCTCCGACACCATCAAGGGTTGCCACGCGGATGCGATGGCAAAGCTCGAGGGGCTCGTTTGCGCCTGGATGCAGCAAGACGCCGAGATTGCCCGCGCCCGCAACCAGGGTACGACCCCACCGCCACCAACCGTCAGCGGAGTTCCCGTGGATCAGCCACGCAGCCCGCACCGACCGCCGCGGAAGGCGACGGTGGAGGATGGTTCCGTCGCGGTGATGCCGGTGGTGTCGGAGCTAGTCCGGACGAGGCCAAGGAAGTGTGGGTTCGTGGCGACGCCGAGTAAGGTAAGACAACTCCGATGCTTCGCCGAGCCTCTTCCGCCTTTCACGCAATGTCACCTGGTTGCATGGCACGACCGGCTCCCATTTGAAATCTGCAACTGCGCCGCGGGTCCACCAAGGATCCCGGTTCCGTGGCAAGTTTGCCCACGCCGCATTGACGCGCCTCACATCCCCCATCGTCTCACACATGTTGTGCAGGATTACACAACAAAACGCCCCTACAAGCACGCGCCATAGCTTGCAGTCATTGCGGCCTGCGAAGAGCCTCCACCTGCGTTTGAATGCGCCGATGTAGTGCTCTACTGTCAGATTTATATGACATAGCTATTGTAGGCTATAGTGGGGTAGCACATATGGGGTACAGCTTTCTAGGGTTTGTATTTGTACCCAACTTTCACTTAGTCATTCCATTATCGTTCAAACTTTCTCATGGTATCGAGCAGGTTCCCTCGCGGGAACTGTGCCTAGGGCCCACCACATCGATTTTTTTTTTTTTCTTCCCCGAAGCGCGCTCCCCTCTCTCCCCTCGTCGAGCCGCCCTAGCGGCCCCGTCTGTCGCCCCTAGCGGCCTCCCTTGCACCGCCCTTACGGCCCGTCGCGGGCCGCCCCTTCACGGCCCGTCGCCGCCCTCCTTTGCGGCCCCGCCGCCCTCCCTTGCGGCCCGTCGCCGCCCTCAGTTGCGGCCCCGTCGCCACCCTCACCTGCAGCCCCGCCGCCCTCGCTTGCGGCCCCGTCGCCGCCCTCAACTGCGGCCCCGTCGCCGCCCTCACCTGCGGCCCGTCGCCGCCCTCAGTTGCGGCCCCACCGCCCTCCCTTGCGGCCCGTCGCCGCCCTCAACTGCGGCCCCGTCGCCGCCCTCACCTGCGGCCTGTCGCCGCCCTCGCTTGCGGCCCCGTAGCCGCCCTCAGCTGCGGCCCCGTCGCCGCCCTCACCTGCGGCCTTTCGCCGCCCTCGCTTGCGGCCCCGTCGCCGCCCTCAGCTGCGGCCCCGTCGCCGCCCTCACCTTCGGCCCGTCGCCGCCCTCACCTGCAAAGCCGCCGCCCTCAGTTCCGGCCCCGTCGCCCTCACCTGCGGCCCGTCGCCACCCTCACTTGCGGCCCCGCCGCCCTCAATTGCGGCCCCGCCGCACTCACCTACTGCAGCGCCGCCCGCCGCCCGAGCCGCCCGAGCCGCCTCACCCAGCCGAGCCGCCGACCGCCGCGCCGCCCTACAGCAGCACAACCGAGCCGCCCAGCAGCAGAGCAGCCGAGCCGCCCAGCCGCCGAGCCGCCCTGCCGCCGAGCCGCACTGCAGCCGAGCTGCCTAGCCGCCCACCAGCCGAGCCGCCGTGCAGCCGAGCCGCCCAGCAGCCGAGCCGCCGAGCCGTCGAGCCGCCCTACCGCCGAGCCGCCCGAGCAGCCCTGTCCGGTGAGCACAACCCCTCTGTCACTGCACTGCCCTTCCCCTACGGCTTGCACTGCTGGTCTACTGTTGGCATGGCTACCCCTAGTGTCCTCGCTTTTGACACTGAGGGTCGAGCCATTGACTTTGAGGTCTGGGTCGACGACCTGCAGCTATTCTTACAGTGCGATAGGGCAGACGGTCTCTCTCTCTTTGACCTCACCTCTGGCGCCTCTCCTGCTCGTGCTGCTGATGCTGACTCCACTGTTCGCTCCCAGTGGGCCACGCGTGATGCAACTGCACGTCTTGCTGTGCGTCGCCACCTGCCTACCACTGAGCGCGCGCACTTTAGTCAGTACAAGAGTGCTCAGACCTTGTACGACGCTGTAGTTGCGCGCTACTCTTCCCCTACCACTGCTGCACTGAGCCGCCTCATGCTACCGTACCTCTTTCCTGGCCTTGCTGCCTTTCTCACATTCGCTGACCTCATTACGCACCTTCGCACTAGTGACACTCGCTACCGCGCCGCGCTTCCTGCTGAGTTCTGCGCCAAGAACCCCCCCCCCCATGTACATCACTCTCTATTATATAGTCACCCGCCTCCCTGACTCCCTTCGTGTAGTCAGGGACCACTTCCTCTCAGTCTGTCCCACCACTCTCACTGTCAACCTCCTAGAGAAGGCCCTCCTAGCAGCGGAGAAGAGCATAGTCGCTGTAGGAGCCTCTCGTGGTGACCCTCGCACCCCCATCTTTGAGGGGTGTTCCCCTTCCCCCCTTCTGCCCTCTGTCGCCTCTACCGTTGCGGTAGACCTCGTTGATCTTGA